AAAAAAAGATTTTTTTTGTAACGGGCGTTTTGCTTTAAGGCACCTAGACTCGGTATAATTCTAGCTCCGAAGCATTCTTCGTATTTCACTAGGTAAAATCGACGAGAACATTTTGCCACAACAACCTCCTTCCCTCTCCATTTGTCTGTGGATTCACCTTTGACTCAAGTTTGCCGTGATCGTATCTCTGTAGTCATAAAAAATGCATTATGAATAACTTTTGTTTTTTTGCCTTAAAACTTGACCCGAACTTGGATTTAAAGACATAGGTTTAGAGAGTTAAAAACCGGGGTCAAAAAAGGATGTTTGAGGGCTGATTTTAGATTTCTGAACTTAGACGACCAAAGATTTTGCTCCTCAGTTTTCAGCTTCTTAAAAAAATTTAAATGTGTGATCACATACACACACAAACACACACATACAAGCATACATAGATACGTATGCACATACACACATACATACACGTATATAAACATACATACATACGTGCATACATGCCCACATACATACCTACACACACAACCATAATACACGCAAACATCACACAAGTGGAAACATCTTTCTTTTATCCTCCGCTAATTCTAAATACTGCTAAATTACAATGATAATGCGTGGAACATGAAACATGCCTGAAGCAGGAACAATTTCATGTATTGTTCCATGCCTGGTCCTCAGCATAATCCTGAAATGATCCTGAGATGAAATGAGCTCAGTCCGAACGGAAAGTACCAGTGGTCCCAAATTGGCATCCGTCGCATAGAAATCGTGATGCTCCTGCAAATAACAGTAACTGAGTCGAAAAGCAAAGACATTGATGATCCTCCGGAAATCGATATGGTTAAAAATACCGTAAGAAATATAAAAATTCTATGCAATTTGCACAGTTCTGCCTCTGTACCAGAAGGATGTCAGTGATTTCTAATTATTAATTTTCACGTGCTGGTACGTGAGCCCCAGGAGTACGTGAAGGATTGAATTTGAACTTTCAGGACCGTACATGGACAGGGAACATCCTCTTAAAATTCCAGTTTCCTAGCTTCTTTTATTGTTGTGTTGAAAGAGTTGGACAAAGGCTCGAGTCCACACATAGATAGGACTTTAACGCCACGAATTTTCCACTGATATTGCAGCGTAAAATGCATAATTAGGTAGACTATCACTTCAGTTACTTTCATGTATTTCCACTTTTAAAGAAAAAAGAGAAATATTGTCTTGAGTTGATGCACATGAAAATTTCAGTTCACGAGTTTCTCATGAGTGAAATTTTGAAAACCAAATAAGGTCATCATAGGATCAGGGTCAACAAATCGCGTTTCCGCTCTCAAAATGACCTTCGAAACACAGGGAACAAAGTGAATTCATGCCATTATGAAACAAGAATCACCTTCTCATAACTGCTGCTGCTGCTAAGTTTTACAGATTAAAATTAACTTATCATTCTAAAGTCTAAGTCGATAAGATATTTCACCACAGTTTAGGTACAAGAACGATTGGTTTTTCGAAAATGGCCGAACTTATTAATTTAACTTATTAATTATAAAAATTATTAGATGCGAGTTAGTAAAAAATAACGAAGCAGGTTACTGGGCTGACCCATCTTGAAAACCGCTTGAACCGCTTATAAAAGCTAAACTCTTTGCTTATTCGAACACCCATCTGTAACTCTGATATGAATCTTTGCTGTTTAGTGCAACTTTAAAATGTGCAAGCCATAATTATGTGGTTACCCTGCCAACGAAATGTCGCCTGTAGCAGTGTGAAGTATCATCGGTTTCCAGTTTGGATCGTGCACAACTGCTAGTGGCCGAACACTGTCCAACCACTTCATCATCGATACTGATTGTGCAGCTACTGACACCATCCATCCAATAGCCACCAGCAGCAGGTAAGACAATTTGTGGATACGGGCCCGGATGTTCCAGGACCTGGAAATAGGCCACCAAAATTACACTGCAATGCTGGAAACAATACTCGTACCAAAACTGTATGACAATACCGAAGACGGTACTAAGGTTTCAACCCAGGCATCGAAGCCTGGAAACAGCACCACATCTTCAACCTGTGCTACCAAAACTACACAACAAAGCTGGAAACGGTATTAAAGCTTAACTTATGGTATCGGTATCGAAGCTACAAAATACAGTAGTTACAGCCACATTTGCTACCAAAGAAGCACTTCTGCAGCCACTCATTTTCATTGTAACTATTAATCTATTATCATTAGTGGCGCTGATAAACGTTTGATAATGTTTGGAAAATTATGATAGGTGCTGTTATTTTGTTCCGATTATTTTCTATCCCACCACAACAACAGCTATCAATGCTTTCTGAGTGTAAATAAATGATATACAGTACAGTCGTCTGGACTATCAGTATTGGAGCTTTTGACATCATCAAGACATTAGTTATGCCAAATCCTCCGTTACGTGCTGAATTGTCGGTGAGCAATTTTTTTAAAATCAACTAAAAAGCACGCGTCACCGGCAAAAGCTCACAGCATTCAGTTCTACGCTATCGAATGTTTTTTCATAGGTGAAGAGAGGTAAAGAGGGAATTGGCATTTCCTTGCGCGCTCCAGCAGCTGGATCAGAAGGAAGATTTGGCTCTCTGTGCATTTATTATTTTGGATGCGATACAATTTTTGTCTTCACATCGAAGAGTCATAGTTGTTTACGCTTAGATGTGGGTTTAAGTATTATTATATATGGGTATCTGCAGTTTTCTCAAAGGACGAACTGAGAAAATATTTGAAGGAGAGAATGAAGTACAGTGTTTCTCCTCTAACCTCTTTAATGGTATCGCGGGTTCGCGCAACTGTTCGGATGCCATTGTGCTGAGCATTTATGCCATGCTGAAAAATCGAAAAATTGAGTTCCACACAATTTTTATAAAAAAATCAGGTACATACTGGAAAAAATAATTCATTTTATTCTTAATTTTCAAATGCACTTGCTTAACTTTTATATTTTATTCATGGATTATACATAATTTCATGAAATTTTCCGTGTCAAATTGAAATTTTAAAATAATGCCATTTTAAAACCGTGCCAAGTGAAATTTTAAAATCGTGCCAATTCCTGTCAGGAAAATCACTTAGTAATTTTTCCAGTACAACAAACGATCTTCAGACTTGGCGCAGCCTGATTATCAGGTGATACAGCTTTTGTCCAAGCAACTGGAGAACTAGCCAGCTGCATAATTTGTAAACAGCACTTTGAAGTGTAATTGGTTGCAATATCAGTACAGTAATTTAAGGAAAAGCATTTAAGAACTGAAGAATTCATGCTTGTAATTATTATGAGGTATGACTGCACGCCTGGCTTTGAAGAGGAGAGTCTCCTCAAAATATTTTCATGAGGCCTTAGTATTTCGCGTTTCTCTCTTATGCTCCCGTCCCCCTTTCCTACTGTGATATTTTCGACGACGTGTAAACGACAAAGAATTGTATCATTCTTGTGATCGACGACAGCAAGCGGTGTGATTACACAGTAGAGGGCGCAGCACGGCTCGGTTTTTTGGCGGAAAGCTACCTAGGTCCTTTCTGTTTGGGAAGAGGACTGGCTCGCATCGACGGTCATCAAAATGGCGAAACTGCTAATGCAAAAGTTCCAATGTTGCTGTAATCCAGCTATGCCAGGCTCTACTGAAAATTGTTCCTAACACCTCCACTTTAGCGCACATGTGCCATTTTTCCCGAGTCCATCTATAAAAAAAAAACAGATTTAAAATATCCCGAAAAATCTCTTCAGAAGGCAAGACAAACATGGGGATTACCAATAGGCTGATCACCAGGTGATGCAAGTACTGCTCAGGAAAAACTGGAAAAGTTTGCCAGTTGCATAGCTGCTTAACCGGTTACGCATTCTAGCAGATCAAAGTACAAATTTCTTGGAAGCAAGAAAAAAATCTGCTCACATCTTCTGGACAGATATCAAAACTTTGCGCCAACGGTAAGCTTCGCAAATATTCCGTCGACTTGGTACTGCTTATTAGCACCGGATGGCTAATTTCAGTAGCAGATACAAATTTTCGTGGAAAAAATAAGTTGAACAGACTCCGTGTTCGAGTGGTTGTTCGTGGCAGTGACGAGCTGACAGCATGACCATTAGCGGAACCATAACGCTGTGCTTCACGCATATTACGGTCTGCTGTTAGGAGTTTCTCTGCGGCTGAAGCCAAGAATTTGGCACGATCAAGGCGTAGCTCATCGTATTGTGGCCAATCACGATCCTCATCAGTCCAGCAGCAGCAATCCTGACTTCCGGAACCGTACAAGGAATCCGACTGCCCGAAAATTTGTTGTTCACCGTCGAAACTGCTCGCATATAAACGCGCATCACCATACGTATCAGACCATTGTCTTCCGGATCCGGCTGCGCCCA